GATAGGTTGTCCCCTGTTGCAGGCAAATACACACTTGCATGTGTGTGCGAAATTTTCTTGTCAGTGCAATAACTCAAGAAATACTTTGTGTTTAAACTTCAGTTGAGGTTTGTGGATTACACTTTATGATCCTAAGAAACCTAAGAATTTAGAACCAATTTGGAAAAAACAAAGGTCAATGTCACAATGGCTAAAACAATAGAAATCTTGTCAGCATGATGACTTAGGGTACTTTGTATATACATGTACTTCAAAGTTGGTTTTTAGATTACCGTAGATGATTCAGTCTATTGCATGTGGGACCGAAAGGTCGAAGTCAAGGTCACAATGGCTAAAACAATAGAAATCTCATTCAGCCAATAACTTAGAAGTATTTGCAGAGGAATTTCAAATTGGGTATGTGCATTCCTTGGGTAAGCCCACAAGCCCATTGTATTAAAGCCTAGAAGGTCAAAGATAAAGGTCACAGTTTGCCATAAGGTAAGACATTCTTGTTTGTGTTCAAAAAATAAAAGATGAAGATGTAGGCATGGTCTTGATGGAACATTTTGTTGTTTGTCAACACACCATTCTTGTTCAAGTTTACAGTTCACTGGTGCATAGCCCCCTTGTCGCAATTCTGGTTTGGGTGTATTACTTGAGTAGACAGCTTGCGAAATTTTTTGATAGATAGGGACATTCCATGCAGTTGAAACAAGAATGGAATAATTAAAACTGCTACTCAAAATACACCCAAGAATCTTTTTCTCTGACAAACTTTAGGAGTAATTTAAGTTCCTCATGTGCAGCTGCCAATAGAATTTGTCAGCCGCGTCCCGCAATGCAAACTGAAAAATTGCCTTTCCATGAGAACCTCATGATGGTCCACTGTGTTGTGGATCACACTTAGTGCATTAGAATGACACCATGGGACCGTGTACTTCTGTGCAAACTAAGATGTTAAAAGGAATGCCTGGTGAGCTTGATTAGTAGACCAACTCGAGTGTTAGCACAATTTGTTTTTCCTTAACAAGTGATTTTACATCTTCCGTGTGTATCGACGAGGTGCAGAGGGTCCTGTGGTGTTGTTCCTACACGGTGGTGGTCTGTCATCGCTCTCATGGGCTGTGCTGGCAGTAAGTACTTATTGGGAGTATTTTCACATGCTCATTTGTCTGTGGGCAACAAGCAAAAAGGAATTGGAGAAAAAATGGGCATTGTTCTCTGAGGGCTGAAAATTAATGGAACAAGGTTTTGACTTTCTTCCTCCTTTCTTGTCTTCAGTCTCTAGTCACTAAGTCAGTCAGATGTCAATGTCTTGCTATGGACTTCAGAGGTCACGGTAACACAGTGACACCCAATGAACATGACCTCTCAGCTAGCACACTAGCAAGGTGAGCAGATAGTTACTACATACAAACCAAACCATTGAGGAATTCATTGGCAAGACCTTGTAAGTGAACTAAGTTTAACTTAAAAAGTTAAAAATAAAAAAAAAAGGCAATACTGAAAACTTTTAAAGACGTAATGCATTTGTTATCATTGTTTTTTTCATTTGCAGAGATGTTGGTAACGTCATTACAGCACTCTACGGTGATGAGAATGTTCCACCAATCATCATGGTCGGTCACAGTATGGGCGGAGCTATAGCCATTCATGCAGCTGTGCAGTTTCTGGTACCATCTCTTGCTGGTTTGATCGTCATTGATGTTGTTGAAGGTACGTTTCAGAAGTGTACTTTGAGGGAAGTTTATTGCAATTTTTGTGCCCGGCATTAGATGTATTGGAAAGATGTTACAGGCATCAGAACCCCATCACCACAATGCTATGGATTTTTTTTAATTATTTGTCTCCAAACTAATATAACGAAATAAAACACAATAACATCACCTTCATGTTGCAATGTAATCAGGACTCAACTTTCATAAGTACTTTACTTTCCATCATTTTTTGGAGGTACAGATCCTTTCTTCTTTCATTTTCTTTGAAAGGCTAAACAGTTGGAATGTTCTTTCATTTTCATGCATATTAAATGTGAACCAGTTTTGAATTGCAGCCAGTTGATTTATGTCATATTCACTATTAAACCCACCTTGACTGCTGTGATGCTAATTCGACGTCAAGGGGGAAAGGGACTCAGTACTACAGAATGCTAAGCACTATTTTATGGCATGTGATGTTTCACCATAAATGACTTTCGAAGATGTTAGGTTAGGAGATTACCATAAACCCCCTATTAATAGCAGGTCAAATGGGTCATTCCATGAGGTTTGGGCACAATTGTGATGGTGTCAATTGTTGCATGGGTTCCATAAAA